AAAAATGTACTAAAATCAGTATTTTCTCTACAAAATCAACATATTTCGTGCAACGTCTCATTGAAAGACTATACAAAATTGAACAATATGATATATTTCTTAAGTATAGAAAGTTGAACTTTGAAAATTTGAAATTTCTGTGTTCTACAAAGCCGACATGGAGATGAAACTAAGTTTATTTTGTAGCTCTGACTTTTCTGCATTTTATGATCAGCTCAAAAGTTTGATTAAAAAGTTACTAGACCGCTGTCTGTCCGGACCGACCCACCAATAATCGCACAACAAGTTCGGAGTAGTACAATGAAGGACTTGGCAGAAAAGTTTGAAGAAGGATCTGCGGATTTCGATGACGAATGGCCAATAATTCCACCGAAGTTCACTTACGAAAGACAAAGACGACAAGGGAAGAAGTGACTTGCAGTTTAAAGACAAAGAGAATATCGGTGATACTTCTTTTTGATATAAAACTATGTTACTACTTTATCGTTATCTCGTAATTGCTATCAAGTGCAAGAAGTCCAAGGAATTTGACATTTTAAATTACTAATAAAACAAAGAGTTAGTACACGTATCACCATGGATATGTTGAAAATGTGCCTTCAGAACGGACATATGGGCCATTTATCTAATTAATTGATTATTCAAAATATATGACAAGAGAAAGAATGAGCAAGCCAGACCCACTCAAACACAAGATCGTTGGCAGTCTTCGTCATGCCGGTTTTACTCACTTTCGTTCGGCCATTTGGTTAATCAGAAAGCAAGAGAGAGAAACTAAAGAGTATTATTAGTGTTATACTCGTTCGAAAAGTGCTCCAAGCGTCGTACTTTCGAATGATATATAATTTGCCACACCTTTCGATACAAAACCGAGAAAACTGAAATAAAAACTTGTTTTCGTTTTTCTGAAAATTATATTTGTTAAAGTGTTTCCAGTCTTCGTAATATTTCTGTTCAATGATATTAAGTTTTGATCGATCGTTGTCGGAAATAACAGGAAAAGAGAAAAGCTCAAGTCGAAAAAGTACCAAATTTACAAAAGTTTCATTTTTTCTCGTTTCTTCTAACTTGCGTAGTTTTCTTGATTCAAGTCTTCCTCATTGCACTTAAGTAACAGCCCCGTCTTAACTCATTAAAAAAAAAAATTTCATTTTTTGATTTAGTAGAAAAATGCAAATAATTTTTATTTGACTGCTGATTTTCCATTAGCAGACAAGCAATATATTGTGTTACTCCGTTGACTGCAAATGGATCGTTGTAAATAGAAAGGTTGAAATCAGGGGTGAAACTTTTACTTTTCTTTCAAAAACGGAAATAAAAAGAAAGTCCAAACATTTAATAAATGTAATAAACAAATGTTTCTATTGAACACCGAAAAATATGCAAACATCACTTTCGATCAAAATAGAAATATATTCTGGTAGTTTGTTGGATCTCATTTTAGTATTTTCAACACCAATTTCAAATGCTGCTCAATGGTGAGTGAAGTCTGTTGTTGGTGAAAGCGGTCTACAGTTAGTTTCAATGGTAGCGATACACCATTACTGGCATATTCTGATCTTTGTCTTGTAACTAATTCACTTATCGATAGTGGTGTTGTCATTAGTGATAATATTGTACATCCCGGATGGTTAGGTGAGAAAGATGATGTCAGTCGATATCGTAGTGAAATATCAAAGTTAATGACTAATGAACAATTATAAAATGAAATGACTCTAGACTGTGATAAACCAAATTTTAATCGTTCAAAACGTATTATAAAAGAGACGATGGCAGCAGTTGATGATAAATCGCATTGTCTAAGAATAGTTCCATTTTTACAATTTAATAATAAATTATTCTTAACTACACCCAACTATTAGCCATACTATATTAAATTACTCGATAAGTGAAAATACTTTTCAAAAGAAAAACAAACCCGATATACAAAATACCATTCTAGTTGCTTTATTTTATTATTACTCTTATTTTTCATCTTAGCTTTTGCATCGGCGGCTTTTACGACTTTTTCAAAAAAAATTTTTAAGCCGCTTATTCGGTTTGCTTTTTGTTTATACGAGATTTCCTTTTATGTAATTTGCTGCACAAAATAGACTACTACTCGGCATTCGAACTGTTAGTGTTATGAGTTAATTTTATAAAGTACAGTCGAGGAGAGAAAATCCCTTATTCATAAGTTGCTTACTTTACTGTTGCTTGGTTGTTTTTCCATCTCTCTCTTTATCTCTATTTGTAGATCTTACGCCGAGTGACACAGAAAATCTGTTATAGGTGGAAAATGTGTACATTTTCTTTTTTTTAAGCTTGATCTCGTGTTTTTAGACGATTTCAACTGTTGATAATTTCAAATTTTCAAATTTCAGTCAAAAATCCCTATACGCACATGCAAGAAACAAAGGAATCAACTAAATTCAAAATTATCAGTACAATCACGACTGAATTATACACCATTCGACGCAGTTTTTTCCGCTGATTCCAAATAACTCGTTGTTTTGTAATTTAAATGTTAATTAACCTACAAAAGCCTAATTTATTTTAAAAACAGAGGGTTTTTTGGAAAACCTATAACTCGGTCCAGGAGGGTTTGGGCTAGTTTGCGCTATTAGTATATATGTATAGTTCGTAGATCTACTTTCGGTAAAAAAATGCGTTGAATCTGAGACTTCGGAAAAAATCAGAAACCGATTACACTGAGCACACATTTTCGGAAAACACGTGGCAAAAAAAGAAAGCTAATTTCCTCGGTCAGGGAAAAGCCAAAACAGAAGTTTTTTTTACGAATGGATAGAGCGAAATGCCTAGTTTTAGACTATATAAAATTTTAATAAAAATCGTCTACTGTTTGGTTCAAAATGATTTTCTGTTTTAACCGCTCTGTTTTTCTAAAACATATATTTCAAAATTTATAGTTGATTTTCATATTTTAGTAAAAATCTCGACGATTTTTCAAGGCGAAAATTCGGAAAAATTCAAGTACTCGGACAGCATAAAGATATACAACAATTCACTCAGTTTCCGATTCTGATTCCGAATATGATTTTTTTTATTACATGGAAGTTGAGTTCAGATGGAGAAAACTGAGAACTACCGGCAGACTCCCGATTTTTTCGCCTCTGATTTACAAAAAAATGACTTTTTTCAGCAACGAAAGGAATTGCAAAAAAAGTTCGACGTGCTTTTGACGTCAGACTTCTAGAGAATATTTTAAGGTACAAACGACGGTTCTAGTACCTCACACAAAAACTTAGATAGGTTTGGAAAAATTGTTTTCCCTCCTTAGGACTATCAAGTAGCGCTGTCCCTGCCCAGTCATTTAGCTTTGAAATTGACTTCAGACATCTATCCAGTTCAGTTTTTAATGTTGAATAAGAAAAAAATAGTTTCAAAATTCTACACAAAATAGTAAGTCGAGAATTCGACCTTTTCCTGAATCGAAGGATTTTTCGACTTTCGACATCCTTCGAGTTTCCTCCATTTTTCAACATGAAAAATCGATTCTGAAAAATTGAAGCACACATATTCGTAATCAGCGTTAAACGCTCTTTCGAATGGTGTAGAAAACACTGCGCTTCGATTTTGCTTTACGTGCACTTTATAAAAGAAATCGAATTTCACTACGATGTTTATATAGAGGAAGTTGATTATTTTGGTATTATATTCAGTTGTTTTAATTTATCAAATGTTTCATAAAATCCATTTACTGTTGAATAAGTTTTTGTCCATCCAAGTTTTCTAGCTCTGGATAAATCACCCGTAACATCACCAAATATGTAATGATAGCGACCAAACACAAAATCTAAATTAAAACGAGAGACCTTTTTCATTTCGATTTCAAATTTGTTCACTGATACACACCGACAAAGTGCCATGTTGCATAATCAAATGCCATTGGATCAAGTTGATGTTTTTGTGCCAATCGCTGCCATACATCTCGTTTGTCTTTCATATATTCAACTAATGTAATAGGTAAACATTCATCTTGCTTTTTGGGATCTTGCTGTTTCGAATTAGGATCAAAATATTCGGTAATAGCATGCCATAGTTCCGAATATTTTATGGGTGTTCCATCGTGAATATTAAAAATTTCATTTTTAGAATGAATTGATGCCCATAACTGAAATTCAGCGTTGTTTGCTGCAGTTGACCAATCGGATAAACATTTGCGGATAGACTTAGCTCCAGGAAAGGCTAATGATTCATTCAACTCTTGCCGAATGCAACAATAGATAGCCAAACTTACAGCTGCATTCATATAATTACCTAGAAGAAAAGAAATAGAGACACATGATGATGACTGTTTCGATTAGTTTCATCTACAGCTGATATTGTTAACCTTTTGATACTCCAACAATACCATTCGGTCGTGTAATTAAATAACTGAAATTGTATTTCGTAGCATATTCTTTTAATAAATCTTCTTGATCATAATAGAAATTTGAGCCAGAATGACGTTTAGCATCTTCTTGAAATGGTCGTGAAGCAATATAAAGTGCTCCTTTATGAACACCGTAATACTTAATAATAAAAAATAAACAGCAAATTGGAAATCAATTATAGTCTGTAGAGGGGGCGAAACGATGATATTTTAGACTACATATCTCGTTACGTAGCACTAGTAAGAAACATGGGCTAGTATATTCTCTGCATTCCGGCCCGGAAAGCAACGAGTCTAAACCTTGAGGAATTGATATTTTAAACTGAAAATCTACGGTAAACCGGGTCGAAGTCCTTTATTGGCGAACCGATTAAAGCCGCCATAATTTAAGGCACGTGATTGTTTTTAGAATAATTTGAGAACGAAAAGCGGTGAAGACTTATGGTTCTCGCCATTCAACAGGATTTTGGAACATCTTTTCATTAGCAGAAGTGCTTAGAAGGTATTTCTAAACAATCAGTTGTCTAAGGGATCTCTGGAAAACCATTTCATAAACTCCAAAATTTAACATAGCAATATAATAGCTTTCTACAAGGGTACATAGTTCAAAATATCCTCGTCAAAACGGGAACTAAGCGACTTCTTAGTTTTTCGTGCTTTAGACGTGGCATTGGATTCCCTGGGAATCCGAGGATCGATATTGCTTCAAGTGTGCGAATCCCGAAAATCAATGAAAACAAATGTTATCGGGCACGCGGATTCTCGTTTTTCCAGAAAAGTTTTATAACCTAGAGAAAACCTATATTATGTGGATTAACTAATTTTTGCCTATTTTCGTGTAAAATGAGAAAACTCATAACGCGGTCAAGATCGATCCAAATTGTGTCATAATATCAGCATATACTCTATTTTATGTACTCAATATGTTATTTTGCTTGAAAAATATTCTTTTACTTCAGAAGATTTCTAGCATACCAAAGTATTCACTGCTGACGTTTTAAAGTTCTATGAACTCCATGATACAGTGCAGTTAAAACAGAATAAATCTTGATATTCTCACAAAGTTTCAATCGATTATGCGAATGGTTTTTCAGAGAGCGCGTAAACAACAGGGTTTTGAGAAACAATTTCAAAAACTTTGCTGCAGAAAAGTTACTCCAAAGCCTTGGCTATCGAATGGCAAAAATCTTAAGCCCCTACCACTTTTCGCTCTCGAGTTATTCAAAAGAAAACCATGTGCCGTACATTTTGGCAACTGTAATAGTGCTCTTATTCATATCTTTGGATCTTCAACTGATAAACACTAGAAACACCCAGAAAAGTGTTATGTTCACAAAATTTTCTTGAATTCGAACAGGGTATTGCCAACCGCAAGTTAAGCGAAGTAGAAGTTTTGAAGATGTTTGACTTATTTCGGAAAACTGGAATTGTTTGAACTAAATGAGATTTGGTAAAAAATCTGTCAGGTATCCTCAGGGCGTATACAGAACCTATCAGTCTGTTTGAAAAAACTTCACCAAAGAAAAAGACTTTTTTACCCAAGTGATGTGATAAAGACCTTTTCTTAGAGGTAAGTTTAGTTTTTACTGACGAAGATTGAATTATCAAAAGCTTTTCCCGATCAACCGGTCGTGCACACAGGTAGATTCTGCACCTGTGTTTATCCCCGTCGTGTTAGTCATTTCCTACTCGCTAAAGCCAACAGGTAAGCTGTTGAACACGATTTTAACGTTTCTAACGAGGAATTCTCCCAAATGTCAAATCAAGTTTTATCTCAAAAATATCGGATTATATAGGAGGTGAAACTACTGATTATAAATATGATGTAGCAATAGAAGGTTTCCAAAAAATCTTATTTTCTAAAGGTCCTAGAACTACAAATTAAAGTCCTTTTAACAGTGCAGTCGTATAGGTCATATTGAACTGTATAGAAACATAAATTCTCATGATTGGATAAGTCTTGATGGAGTTGTGAATTTTTTACTGACAACTGGTGATCGAGGTACATTAGCGATGATCAATTTTTTAAAAATTTCTACACACTCTAAAACATATTCCATAGAGCGAAAAGTTTATGACCATACATGATTCGTCTTACTCTGCAATCACCGTTATTAAAAGACGCTTTGAAGTGTGCTTTAAAGAAAACAAATTTTAGCTCTCCAGAGAACGAAGAATCCGCTAAGGTTACTTGTGACTTAAATTGAGGAGTATCATGCAAAACCCCAGAAAAAGCAGTAAAATTCATTAATTAAACATGGAGTGTATCAACCTGTATAGATCATATTGGTAATGTGAAGTATACTTAAGTAGCATCCTGAGCAAAAGAAAAACATAAAAGCGTGACAGTCGAAGAGGATCTCAATCAATGAACAACTGGGTCACTTTGTTTTGAGATCCGTCCAGCAATTCTAAATGCTTTTGATCCGATGTGACCCAATTTTAGTTGCTCTTTGATCTTAATACTGCTTCACACCTTTTACTGATAAACGAAATTAGTTCTTACTTTGTAGCCAGTTTGTAAAGCAAACGATTGAAAGCTGCCATGGTTCTTTTCCGCCTGAACAGTTTTTACTATCACATCCAACGCTCGTTTTAATAATTCCCGATTAACATTAACCAATTCTTTTTCATCTTGCTTTTCAATGTAAGCATAAAAATAAACGTGTGTTATTTCATGGCCATTAACTTTGCTCAATTGATCACTAAGTGTATCTACGTCAGTTTCTAACAGATCAGCGGATAGAGAATGTAATCGATTGTCATTGTGAAAATCCGCTCCTTGTAATGGACGACGTGAAAGCGCTATGATCGATTTCCACTCACTAGCTGGTTCTTTTAATAATGCTTCAATCATAGCTGTACCAGATACGCCATTGGCGCCGAAAATGCATGCAGTTTTACCATTAGTTTCCATTATTATGTGGTGTGATAAAAATAAAACACGCACGACAGACTATAACTGCTTCAGTACTTATCAGAGAGATATCGTCTATCTAAAATATAATCAATCATCAAAAAATAGTTAAAATTCATTCATTCTGCGTTTGCATTGCAACCTTACATTGGAGGTAACTACTTTGGCAGTTACTACAATACCGGCCTTATTAACTTTCACCACCCAAACAAGTGTCTAAGGATAGCAATTACGAAATGTTAATATAATCTCTAAACACGCTAGATAGGATTTTATTGGTCTTTATCTCGTTCTATCATCCTCATATCAGTCATCCTGCGAATTCACGGATAAAATTTCGATGTCACTTAACATTCATCTTCGATTCCACCCGACTCACTTAGTTTGAGGTTGGCTTAAAAGCCTTTTTCACTTCTATGAATGACTTACAACACATCCTCAAAATGTAGACAAAAGGCTGCAGGAACTTATGGTTAGTTATGAGCATCTACAGTCGGCAGAAATGCATACTTTAAGGTAGAATAGGAGATATTTTTCTTCACTCTAAAAACACATATGAAATATATTATCTCTGCATTGACACAGATTACATCACTATTATTTTATGCACAGCTGCCCTCACCTGAATGTTGCTTTAATACACGAAAGAAAGAAAGATACTTTCACAAAGATACGTGTAAATGTCATAACTTTGGTCAAAAAAGAGACATTTTCAATTTAATATGTTCTTTTATCAGCTGCGCCAAACAGAAAAGGATGATACTTAAAGGACGCACGCCGTCTTTTTTCTTTTTCTTCTTTCTCTTCTGTCTATAAATGTATATCCAAAGTGTTCTTCAGCGTCCAGAATGAAAAAAAACCCAAAAGTACGGCGTGTGTCCTTTGTATCTATCATCCTTTTCTGTTCTGGCGCAGCTGATAAAAGAACATATTAAATGGTAAAATGTCTCTTTTCTGACCAAAGTTTTGACATTAGAGTTTTCTCTTTTAGCGTATCTTTATCTTTTTCTTGATGTCGCATGCAGATCTCTGTATGTCAGACGTGAGGATATATACAAAAAGAAAGGCTGATCTGCATGAGACATCAAGAAAACGATAAAGATACGCTAAAAGAGAAAACTCTATTTACATTTGTTGCTACAGGCCTAATGATCTAGGTTATGTTTTCATTTCTCTTTTTCGTTCTGCGTTATCACGTGGGGCAACAAGAAAAGAAGTTTTGTTTTTCAATTCTTGTATACTTAGTTTTGTAACGCTTTGAAAATGACCGATTAAAAGTCGAAATATCAACTAAATAAAATGAAGTTTAAAACAGCTGCAATTATAATCAAATTTCTAACATCACATGGACGTATGAAAAACTATTTCTGAAGACGAACAAGAAAATGACACATACTAATCCGGAGGCCAACTGCACTGCGCACAAGTTGCGATGTCTACAGACTGCATCCTATCTGAATCTGCCAAAAGCGGTCCGCAGTTAACAGGAGCTGACCACGTCATGTTCGTTGTGGTTTTAGTTGCTTTAAAAGATAGATTTAAGAAAAATGAAATGAAAGCGCAGTTTCAAGAAGAGAGAAAGAGCTATCAGAAAGAGAGAGAGAGAGACATATTTTTCCTCTGAAGAACAAATGGCGCTAGACAACTGAATATCCGAAACAATCCAAAATACATTTTTCTTTCATCTCCTACTCACACGGCTCAGCTAATCTAAATAAATGGTATCTCTTATACAATTGGTACCGTTCTTTTTTTCTTTTTTTTTTTGATGTAAAGTTTATTGTTCCCAATGGGTTAAGGGCCCCCCCCGGGTCAAAAAAAGCAATTTTTGTCAAAAATATCATTTTGGAGATTTATACATAGTTAGATAGCCCATCATCTGTACTTTCGAATGCACTATGACTTATTGGTTT